ATCCAGTACTTTATGGCATACCAACGATATCAGATTATTATCATCCACATCAGCTGGCTTTGCTGGTGTACCAACAACCTGAAATTCCACGGTTATTGGAAAAAAATCAAACTAAAAAATATTTCTTACCTAAAAAGCCCCTTATCTGTCAACGATTCCCTTGGATCCACTGCATCTTACACACATTACCTCCTCAAATCAGTGAGGTTTTCAAGCAATAAGAGCAAAAAAAAAAGCTTGAAAATCGTGAAATATCGTTACCAAGTCAACGTTGTAACGTTCGAAGGCGTAGTGTAGTGACGGGATAACAATATGCTGCAGTACTTTGACAGTGTTCATGCTGTGTGCTGTGCTCGGATCCTCTTCAAATTTTGCAACGATGCGTTTCAGTGCATTCTGACGCCATTCAAGAGAGTACTTCTGCAAGATACAAAGATTCAAAATCAATATAAAAAGCCTGACATGTGGAGGTTCGCGTTAATGTAAACTCAACTTCTTCCAAGTCAACACCGTCTATCTGCTAAATTATTAGAAAACATGTGGGCCGTCTGTATTCCCTCCGAGTTTTGAACAGATAAAACTGAAGACCTGTTCCAAACCAACACAGTCGATAAGCACGGTAATCAACCCTTTGCATTATTTCCGCTCTAAACTTTCAGTGATATGCGATTTTTGGCAAAATGGAGCATTATTCTGTTCAGCAAACTGTTATCATTTCATTAACTTTGGATTATCAGAATCGACTGAGTTGTCGGTTCGCTGAAACTTTTGGCGCTACAAAAACAATTAGAATGCAGCAACCAGAAGAGCCCTGGACGCTCAATTGGTGTGAAAAACCGGAGGGTTGCAATGAAAAAAAAAAAAAGATTATGAGGTAAGAATGAGATAAAACGTTTTGGTCCATTAAGTCATATACGTCTTAACTCAACACTGCAAGTTTACACCTTCAGCGAAGCTTCAGCTTTTCCGGAAATTTCATTAAAAGTCACTAAAATCCCGTCCTATATCATCTCGAAGTTCGCTTGTATGTAATGGAACTCAAAAGTGTTTTCTTTTTTTTAAAAAAGAAGAGCGAAACTTATTTTTTTTTAAAAAAAGAAGAGCGAAACTTACAGGAATGATTTCTTTTTCAATAAATAATCTCAGGAAAGTGAAAGCGCTGATATAATCATTTGCGAATGCATCGCAAAGGTCAAAGATGATATCAAAACGATCGGTGTTTGATCTAAAATTCACGAAAAGTAAGAAATTCAATAGAAACATAGCAAAATTCAGTATGGCTTATGTGTTGCGACCAATTGAAAGGAGAGGAAAAGCACTGCAGTACTGTGGCATTATATAATATGGTGTAGTTCCTGGAAGAAGGCAGCAAAGAGGAAGACTGACAAAGATAAGGGTGAGAAATGAACAAAAAAGAATTTAGAAATGAAAAAACCGAGCGTTTGCAGTGTAAATGGTGCTTTTTTTCCTTCGGCTCGATTAAAACAAAGAAAATCCGCTTGTACCCGCTCCGCATTAACTCTAATAAAATTATCCTTACTCGGTGTCGCGGAAGTTCAACGAAAAGCCGGCCCAATTCACGTTCATTTGCAAAAAGAGCTCATCCTCGAGACCCTCTTTCCATACCCTCCCCTTCTCCTCCCCCCTCCCTCCCGCCCCCTTTTTGCATCTAAACCCCCCAGCATCACCTGCTTAATCTACCCTGAATTTTGTTTCTCAATACTAAATGTTTAAAGCTTAATCTTTGGATCTTTGTTTTCTTTTTGGAGCTGGATACGTTCACCCTGTCCGGTAAAGTTTCTCTATTCCAACTGGATACCATCCTTGGCAGCCTTTGGAATGCAACCACAGTTGAAAAGTGTACGTCACCAAGCTCGCCTAAACTACACAGATGTGGAGCCTTTGAGGTTATAAAAAGAAAAAAATTACTTAAAATAGCGCAGCATAATCAGGGCTGCCAGTTTAGGAACCTCATATCGTGGTTCATCCAAATAATCCTGAAAAATAAGGATAGCAAAAACGAGTCAAATTTCTATTACCTCAAACATTTCTAACAGCATCATAGTATTTAAAAAAGGAAAAAACAGCTCTCTCCACCCCCTTGTAATAACCGACCAAAGGCTATTTCTTTTTCTTGTACAAAAAAAAATGTTAACTTAAAAAAACCAACAAATATGCGAATATAAATATTTCTAAACTCATTAAATTAAATTAACGAAGTCGGAAAACATGAAAAGATCAAAATTTCTTCAACAACAAATAAAAAGAAAAATTGCTGGAGATTTTTTCAGTGCATAAAATGTAAATAAAATATGGAATGGTATGCCTGGACAGGCTACTCTCGCTCTTCCAGTGATGAGTTTTTTTGGAACTATTACAGTCTTTCTTTTAAAAAACATCGTAAATTAATGCGTCAATTCTGTATTATACTCGCTTTTTTTGGCATATTGTAAGAAATCAGCGTAAGTTCTGCTTGATGAATAAATAATATATTACAATAAAAATTGGAAAAAAAAACATTAAAAAAATAAAAAAAAAATTGAAGAAATAACATATTGTAACATATCACAATAAAAACTGAAGAAATACTGAATATCGAATTTAAATATCAAATTTAAATTCAAATATCAAATTTAAATACAAATTTAAGTAAAAAATTATCCTGAATTTTGAAAGACAGTTGTGTATTCAAAAGTAAGGATACTGGAAATGCGATTTGCCAATTTACCTTGCGTGTGTATCGTTTATGGAAATCCAGGTCTTTCCAAAGAGCATGTACGTATGTGACAATTTCTTTGGCTTCACCGGTAGCCCAGTTTGGATGACGATTGCCAATGCTGAGGATTAGTTTCATTGCCAACAATTCCATTACGCAAAGTGATACGCTGCTTTTTGCCCATACCCCAACACAAACCTGTAACTATGTATGTGAATTACACATGGCAACAGTGCAGTAAGTCAAGTGTTCTTCAGTATAACTATTGTACTGGCAAGGTTCAGTTGTGGTACCGCGCTGCGATGCATGCATATCGATAGAGCAAAGCAATATAGCTCGTTGCAACTGTAATTGTTATTACTATTATCATTATCATTATTATTATTATAGTTATTTTTATTATTACCACTATCATTATCACCTGGCATTATTGCTTTCCTACGTCAATTAAATTAAATCAAATTTCAAACCAAAACTGAGATAAATGAAGAGATGGTACGGGAATAAATAAAAAGAGTTGAGGAAATTATAATCTCAAAAAAGCTAGTAAATTTGAAGAAATGTTTCTGTTCACATAATCGTACGAATTTTTGGTCAGTGTGCCAAAACTGGACCTCGTCAGTGTGACAGTTGCAGCTGCGTATGGATTATTTAGAAAAATAAATAGCGGCGCGCACCAGAGCAGCCGGTGCGATCATGCGTCTGTGCAGTTTCGTTCACCGAACGACTGCCTGCTAATGATTTTCATTGCTTTGCAGTTTGGTCTGTACAAAAATAGCTGAAATGTTGTCTGGTTCTAAAGTTGCGGAATTTCGCATTAGAAATTTCACGCACACAAGATAATAGCTTCTCTGTCAAAACTTTCACGGAGCTGTACGTGATACTCAGGGATACGCGAAGGCTGAGTCCAAATTTGCGAGGTCGCACGTTTGTAAACGAGATCATAAAATTTCAGATTCTCAACTTCCGCAGTCCCCGAGAGAATAATTTTTCTCGCCGATACTTCCACGGGGTCGTAAGTGATGCTCGGACGCGCGGGGAGCTGATTTTAAAATTGCAGGACTGTATGTGGACAGAAGACATTAGCATAAAATTTCAGCTTCCTGGCTTTTATGGTTCCCGAGATAATAATCTCCCTGCAAAAATTTTCACGAAGCCGTAAGTGATACTCGAGAGCGCGGGAACACTGAATTTGAATAGGCAAAGGCGAGCGTGGGCGGGGGGTCACTGCCCTAGACTCCGTGGTTCTCGAGATAATAATTTACCCCTCAAAAATTTTCATGGGATCGTACATGTTACCCGCGGGCAGGGGAAAGCTGAATTTAGGTTTTCTGGGTAGCACATGGGCGGAGGGCATGTCCACAAAAATTAAGCCTTCTAGCTTCCGTGGTTCCCGTGATAATAATTTTACCCGCCCAAACTTTTACGGGATCGTACGTGTTACCCGCAGGAACGGGGAGGCTGAATTTAAATTTGCGGGATCGCACTTTGGTGGGGAACGTTACCCTAAATTTTTAGCTTCCTAGTTTTTGTGGTTCCAGAGTTGAAAGTTGCGGGCGAGTTGCAGCGGACAAACACACACACACACACAACAACCCCGTGACAATATGCGTTTTGTACTGCTATTATACAGCACAAAACGCGTAATAAGCCGTTGCTACGAAATATAAGTTTTTAGTAGAAGGCAATTGTAAACAGAATGAGACTATGAAAGTAAGTGGTACATACGAAATAAATGAATTTTAATGAATCGAAATTAAAATTTAAAATGAATTCACTGAAACTTAAAATGAGTGCCAGTCCAGGTTACCACAGAGTAAGTTTATAAAAAACACAGTTTATAAAAAAAACAATGAATGTCAAAAAGGGGAAAAGAATGATTTTTATGGTGCTAAGCGAGAAAAGAAAATACTAACCATTGATTCACCTTGCAATATACGCTGAAGATAATTTTTATTTTCGATCAGGACATCACGGAATGCTTGTCCCTCTTTATGCGCCACCATATACTGCAAAACAAACAGCTGAATGCACTGTGTCTCGCAAAAAACCGTGCAAAATGGAAGAGTTGTGAAAAAATGAGGGATTCTTTGATTTCTCCATTCTTTACAAACTTGTAAAATTTGCTCGATTGAACAAAAAATATGCAATTTTCAAAAAAGGAATGCTCCCGAAAAGAAATAGTGAAAAAATCAGACAAGCAAAAATCATGCCTAAGTCTCACATCAGAGTCAAAAAGTCAATTCCCTTCCCCCCTCCCCCCCTCCTTCCCCTCCCGCGCCCTCAACCCCTCCCTCGATTCCTCCGTATCCACTGTCTAAAACAACGGAAACACAAGCAGTACGAGTGGTAACATTACCCAGTTACAAGGCCATCAATGACTTTTTTCTTCACGAGGCTTCCAGTGAGCAAGTTGACAGAAGTCTGGCTGCATGGCATGTGCCAGTATCAATTTAGCACCGGGACGGAACAATGAATGAATCATCGAAGAAAGGTTGTTCACCCAGTAGTGGGGCCAAAATTCATCGTTTTTCGACTGAATCTTGCTATC